ATATTTATATCAATATGTCGAAGTTACAATAGTTTTAAATAAAAAGTGTTTAATGTTGATCAATCAGATCAGATCAAAAATTCATGCGCTCAGACACGTTGCATATTTATTTTTATATTTTTATATACCATATGAGAAACCTCCGAAACCTGCTATTAACGAGTAGTATGGTTTTAGACACCTCATATATTTTGCATAACTTTTAAATCTATTTTCTTAATGATATTAAAATAAAACAAATTAGAGTAAAGTGACTTACCGGCACGATGCGCAGCAGCGAAGTTGTACACATATTGATTTATAACAGATACAGAATACATCCAAATTATATGGAACGATTTGCTCTGTACGAGATATCGCCGTGCGATAAACAAATCAAGGATAAAATCGCAATTCGGGAGAATACGAAAAGTAGGATATAACAATGCGTCCCAATACACAATTAAATATTCAATAAATTCTCTAATATTAAGAATTTCGAGACCGACTTACAGCGTTTGATGGGATTGTTTACATTGGCGCGCTTAGCTTACGCACACCACATCCCCCTCTCTCTCTTTTACACATATTCTGTGTAGCTGCACGTATTATTGTTTTTTTCTCCGCATTCTTCCAAATCGGAATCGGCGTGACTTTGTCCTTGATGTCTTTAAAACTCTACTCTCTCTTTTATCATTCGCACGGTGGCACTTGTACGGGATAGATCGCGTTCCGTATCGGCGTATTATCTTCTTTAAAAGTATCTTTATACTACTTCTTATTTTTCAATCTTATCCTTTTGCATCCGTTATTTGTTACGGACGTGTGTCGATCGTATGATCCATGCGATGATATTCAAGTTTTATTCTGTGTGAAAAAATACGCGTCGGGAGTGTACGATTTACGAATTCGCGTCGCGAACGCGTGTAAATACTTTGAAGATAGCAAAGAAGACTGAGAGGAGGAGGAGGCTCAGGAAGAGCGTCGGGCGCCGCAGGAGCAACTTTAGGGTAAGTGATCATTTATTTGTTATTTGTTATTTCTAACATATTCCACGTAAGATGTTATGTAATGTAACGTGCATATTAAAACTTAAACTATGAAATATTCAGTAACAGATTTGCAACTTTGAATATTAAATTTTTAACCGGTTTATTTACGGTTATTAGATATAAATATATAATTTTTTTATAAGATATTTGCATAACGAAAGATGAGTAAAAGTTTAATGTACGTAATGATTTATTTAAATAAAATTTGCTGCTATAATTTGTGGATGTACTTATGTTACAGATCAACTTGTGAACAATTCCGCTGCTGCGCATCGTGCCGGTAAGTCAATCCAATTTGTTTTATTTAAATATCATTAAGAGACTAGATTTAAAAATAATGCAAAATATACAGGGTATCTTAGACTAACCGTAATAGCCTGTTAATAGCATATTTCTGAGATTTCCAATATGATAAAGATATAAAAATGCAACGTGCCTAAACGCACGAATTTTGGACAATTTGATTGATCAACATTGTTTAAACACTTTCCATTTAAAAACTATTATAACTTCGACATACTGATATAAAAATTTTCTTCTCCAAATAACCCCAGGAATTTGCTATTCACGTAATACGGTTGGTCTGGAACGGAGTGTATATGTATATGTTAGATATTTTTCTATATCTAATACTTAAAGACATTAAAGCAAGAGGAATTAAAACGAATATCTGGTCGACGTTTTACTCTTTCAATAATCTTAAAACTGATAATTAGAGAAATAATCTTTTCTCTGAAATTGCTAATAATAAAACCAAGATTAGCCTTCGCACTTCGTGATTCCTTTTAACGATTCTTCTCTCAGTTATTTGTAATATAATGTTTACTGGACTTTTATGGTACCGCACGGATTATCTTGGACATATAGTGTTATATGAACAATAAAGTCGACCGGTGATAATCGCATAAGTAACGAGGCTGCATTATATCGTCATTAGGCGCGGTGCCGTTTTAATGCTCATCAAAATATTCATCGTGCTAATTATACATTTTCGATCCCGTTGATATCCCGAATTATGTGAACGGACGTCAGAATGACGGACAGCGTGAGGATCCGTGTCTCCAGTTCATTGAAATCTCGCGAAAACGACTGAATGGGTTTCGTGGAAGCGCATAATGGGTTGGCGGGTGGCGCGTCATCGTTTCGGTTGCCTGCTCGTTTACTCGCCCGCTCGCGAATCGCGCCTCTGTCAGCGTCGTAATCATTGCGGCGAGGTTGAATCTCACCGCCGCGATATGACGACAAACGACCAGCACCGTCTCGGAACACCGGTCATCGTTGTTCGCCTAATGGGCTGCGCATTTCTCCGTCTGCTTTCACAGCTAGCTGATTATGACATGTTGGTCGCGTCTGCAAGCGGGCGAGCAAGCGAGCAAGCATCGGATACATACCCCATACCACGTGTTCCAGGCACCGTAACGCCATTTGCCCGACTAATGACTCGCTGGCACTTAGTGTTGCCGTGGTCTAAGCCTCCTTTTCCTCGACGCGTATCCACGAGCGGCTTTAAGACGGCTCTATTCGAGAGGAAAGTGTCGTCGCGTAAGACTTTGTAGCTCGCGCGATTAATAGTTGATCGTGACGCTCGATAGCGAATTAGCGAGTATTTACGTATTTATGCGCAAACGCGCGATGCAGTAGATATTATTTATGCGACAGTGATGATGCGATTTACGATACGATGAATTACGTACCAAGATTATGGACTTCTTTTTTAAAATGAGATTTTTATGAGAACGTATATTATTATTTCGAAATAACTTATAAATCCGCGAATAAGTAATAAGCGGAATGAAAGAAACGTGTTAATTAATAAGGTGCATAATTTTTAGAAATTTGATTTCTCTATTTACTAATTTTCTTATTTAATTTAGTTTTTTCTAAATTAATTTGATGCCTATTTTTATTTAAATATGCTACATTTTCTTTTCTAATAAAATATTTTCTATTACTATATTATACGTAGTGCTTACATAATGCAACAAATAAGAAAATATTTTTTAATATGTATTTTAAATATATATCTAAATTTTTAATGTAATAATGTAAATGAATAAACATATTTCCGTCCATTATAATGCAATAGTATCAGAATATCATAAATAAGTAATCAAATCAAATATAATAAGATTTACTCACCAGCTCTGCTTCTGCTCTTAATTATTTCACCATGTTATTCTCGCCGTTGCAATTCGTTGGTTTCGTCATTGCTCCAAATACATACACTTATATGACACTAATTACCATTTATGATACGACCGGTTAATTTATACGACACTCCCGAGTTAAACGCGATGTATTTTTAATACTGAATACGGCAATTCGGAAACAATTATAAACGATATTGTCCATTAAAAAATTTAGCACAGTGACAATATCCAGATAAAGCAGTACGGCGATTAAACAGCGACTCAAAAGATGCCAAACGTAAATATTATCGGAAGAATTAATTATCACCACTTGCCTTTATCGTCACGACACCAACAATGCATTCCACACTTTTGACGCGCGATTATATTGCACAATGTATTCTCGAAACAAACAATTAACGCGAAAGATGACAATCGCTCATAACCTTGCTCAACACTTCCGTTATTCTCGACACACATTCACAGAATGCGAAGATAATTTCACGTCGATGCGTGAAAACTCGGTGAACGACGCGACGGATGCGGTTTACTTCACGAATATCAAAAGATAGATTAGAAAAGAAAGGTAGATCACGATTATGTGCGCTAATTTATTCTCAACGATAATTTCGATTCCATACTTTTAAGATTTTTTGTTGACATTTTTAGCTATCCTAAGATATATTTAGAAAGTCCGAAAAACAGCATTTTTACATCGATGCTCGTTGACTTGATGAGCAATGTTCGATATGACGAGATAAATACAATTAGTTTTGTGTTAATATCAAAAGACTAATAACCGCGACCGTATACATTAAATCATCCACAATGATCTTTGAACAAAGAATAAAGATTCCGATAAACGCTGTATGATTTACCTTATTTTTATTTGCGCGCGTAATGTAAATAAAACAAAGCACCCATACGTTGGCTACCGTGACTGTGAACTAAAAACTTATAGTAAAGATGCTACAAGTTTTTATCTGTAACCATAAACTATTCAATTACTTTACGAGTTACTGCATACATAATATATTAGAACACACCTTGCGCATTTGCAACCAATCAGACATCGCGATTGTGGACATGAGAGACGACATGTAATAAACTTCAGAGTATATGTAGTGCAACGTCATTTTCACGCGAAAGAAAAATGCGAGCGAAAACTATCGATGTACGTACAATCAATTCTTTCTTTTGTTTTTATAATACTTTCTCCGCAGTACATGTAATTGTATATATCTAATGTTTATGTTTACGTTAGCCGGAGGAAAGACTTGCGACGCGCCTTTCCAAGAAATCTCTGCCTCACGAACTTGGTGGCCGATGTGGCGCACGGAAACATTGTTTTGGTTAGTATTAAAAAGAAAACGACACAAAAATATCATAAAAACAATGCAGAGCGTAAAGTATATAACGTTTAGAGTTTTCGTTCGTCATGCTGCGAGATTTTGTATCAGTATCGTACAATTGCTTTAGATGTAACAAGCACGAAAAATTAACCTGTGTGTGACCACACACACACACACACACACACACATACAAATTAGGTATATCTTATATAAAATAAAATGTTAATTGTTTATTCGATTATTCGATTATTTAATCGATCGGTTATATGAATAGTTAAAAGGTGTTTTATATATATATATATATATATATTTCATTACATTTTATTATAAGAGTGTAACAAGAGAGTTTTGAAAAAAATTTTTTTATTTAAAAATAATTCTTTATGTATTTTGTCGCAAGTCCGAACATATTTGATCATGTGATCGTGTGACTGTGACGTCACGAGATCTATCGTAACGTCGCTTAGTTCATAAGACGATGGCGCTGGAGTAGGATGCGGGTGAGCACGGTTCGGAATTATGTGTATACCTTTTCCCATTTGGAGTGAATTTTGCGTGCAAACGTGTATTGGGTAAGTCGAATCCAACGATAGGTGATTGTCGTAGAATGTTAGCATGTGCGATCGTGATTACTAGTCTCTTAACACTCGCGAAATCAATGGCATCCGTAGCATAATGTCGGATATTCTCAGCAAATTGATGAGCATCGGTATGAAGTTGCTCCGTTTTTCGAATTCGTTGGACGAAATATCGGAAATACATAGTATTGAATCAAATGACGAGCGATCGTGGAGGGTTAATTAATGCATACGGTTGCGATTATCAGGCTTTCGATTCCTAAAATTAATTTCGTCTATTAATAAATTAATTCCGTTCTGACGGACATCGCGCGTCGAACTTTTGTATCGAGTGAAGATGTCTCTCTTTCTTTTTCGGACATTTTGAACATACCTCAGGTTTTTAGAGTAAAAATGTCATGACTGTTGAGTTACATAACGGGCGATTGCTGTGAAAAGTAAATTAGCATATACAATTACGACCTAACCTCTAATTTGTTTTCAGATGTCCTCCTATACCCACGTCCGTCCTATCCGTCTTTTGTCATGGTTGGCCTAATCTTCGTATTTCACGTCAAAAATGTATCATGCTAAGCAGTGAGCACTCGGGAGTGTCGTACAAAGTGATCAATCGTGAGTCAATTATTGCTAAATAAGTGTGTGCTGGAACAACGACGGACTCAACGATTCCGACGGCCGGACGGCTGGTGAGTAAATATTCTTCTACTTTTTTCAAACTATTAAATTGATTTGATAATTATAATTAATGATATTAATAATATCAAATATGTCTTGAGGAAGAAAGAGGAAATATATCCAATAGGAAGATTAATTATTATATTCGAACCATTTCAATTGATTACAATTGTTTTACTGTAACATTTTTAGTACCAAACATTTATTATAGAATTTTCATTGTATTTACATTGTATTTATTCTGAATAAGGTACAAAACTTTAAATTAAGAAATGGGAACTGTGTAAAAAATGTTTGTAATATTATTTTTTTATATTTATTTTGTAAAAATTGCAGATATCAGAACTAAAATGCACACGTATGATATATAGATTGTGATATATAAGGGCACATAACTGTATGAATAATTACATATGGGTATAATTTTGACAAATTAGCCATCATAGCCGATAGCAAATGAGCGATTTCCGAGCTTGCTTGCGTGTGGGTAGGTTAATGACGTGTTATTAGTGCTATTAGGACCACACAAAAATGAATATGATATGAATCTTAGATCGGATATCTAAAGACACTTTTGTAACAACGAATAGTAATACTGTAAAGGAAACCCTTCGGCATCTTTGTAATTTATGCGAAACATGATACTAAAGATATCACAGATTATCATGCGATATCGTTACTAAGTTATGGTTTTAAAAAATTTTGAAAATTACTCGTAGTATTTCCTGTAAGTGTTAGAAGCTGTCATAATCAATGTAAATTATGCCTTCATACGAATCGATGGGACATAACGGGATTAAGATCGGTGCATATGTCAGTAGCCGTCGACTGTAATTCTAGCATATAAGGGACGCCTTCATCGGCGTCGGCATCTTGCTCGTCGTCGTCGTCGTCGTCGTCGTCGTCGTTGTCGCCGTCGCTGTCGCCGTCGCCGTCGCCGTCGTCTTCGCCCCCGTGTAGGAAACGATTCCGTCGCCGACGTGAAGGAAACCGCGTCTTACGCCTTGGCGGCGTGACGTCGCAATTATTCATCGCGTATGGTTGCGAGTAACAAATCGCCAGTCAAGTGGCAACACCGGCAGCTTGCGCAAGAGGACCGGGGAGTGGGACGAAGAGAGGAAGGTAGGGAGAGAGGGAAGGAGTCTCGCATACGCGAGAGGAGAAAAGTCGGAGAGAGGAGCAAGACGCAGTGATAATGGTAGGCCGCGAAGAGGGAAACACGGCGCGAGAAAGAGAGGCGGTGTGACAGGGAGAAGGAGACAGCAAGAAGCGGACTCCTCCCACGTACGTCTAGATTCGCGTCGCCAGAACGTAAATTTAGCACTAACGCATTATGCACGCTCGGGCTGCGTCGCATTGGGCGTGCGATACCGACAGCAGCAGCCCGTCTACGCACGCAGCATCGCCCTGATGCGTGTCGGACGTGTTGCAGACGACATACGTACGCGAGGAAGGGTGTCGGTCGGTCTTATTTCGCGCAAATGAAGTGCGAATGTCGAGATGAGATCGATCATGGGAAATCGTGAGTATCGAGGGAAAGAGCGGACATATCTCGTGGGGGAGTCTTCACACTTGATGATACTGCAACGTTCTGTTATTAAAATGTAAAGATTAAAAAAATTTTTAATCTTTACATTTTAATACCCTCGATATGCTTGAATGAAACAATTATATTTTTTTAAGATTTAAAAAACTATACGAAAGTTACAGAATATAGGAAAAATTATTTTTGTTAGTTTTATATTAGAATTTAAGAATACCTACTAGTGCTAGAAACACTAATCTTGCTTAGCACAGGGAAATTTTTAGGTATTAAATGATTTCTGCAAGAATTGTTTGAAAATAGGACAATACTTTTGATTTTCACAAGCAGAGGCTTATTGAAAATAATCGTAAATCAGCACTAAACAACAGGCGCAAGGTCACTTTGCACCGTAACGGTCAGAAATCTCAATTAGTCCTTTGTGCTGGATGTACACTTGCGTCTGGATTTGATTAATGTACGTTTTACCGTGGGCTGCCTTTGTGCCCGAAGTCGGTGGCGTCTGAGAAACACAATTTACGCCGACCACGCTGGCAATATCTGTTTTACACTCGCACGTTGAGTAAAGCGAGCTTTGTGAGCGTAGCTTTGCGACCTGTTATGATTTACATGGACATTAGCTTCAAAGACGACTGAAATTGTTGCTAGAGCAACAGATCTTTATTATTGTGACATCACAGTAATTCTCGATTATTGACTGGAACGCAAAATTATCAATTAGAACATGAACAGAGGATTTCAAGATTTTCTCCGAAATTACGAAAATATATATCTATTTATAATAGATAATTTGTATAATGTGTCAGAATTGTAAAAGTAGTTACTGAAGTAGTCGATTAATACTATCAATTATTTGATATCCTTATTTATTTTTGTGTATAACATTTTTTTCTATTTTAATACTTATAAAATATTAGAAAAAGCGATTTTTTTAATATAACTGATATTTATTTTTCAGTATTAAAACTGTATTTTTATTAATTATTTTCTAACTTTTTGTTCCATAATAATTTGGTTTCACAATAGTAATATAAAGACAAATGTTAGCGATAAAATCACGTAAATTAATGTTCCATGTATTACTGTTGGTTTCTCGCTTTAACAATCGTTCCCGACACAGTTCTACAATATCGCATAGTTTCTACAATTTATAATATTAATATTTTGTGTAACTGGATTAGTGAGAAGAGCCATCCGCGTCGCGCTTCTCTTTCTGCTTTAATAAGTGGAATTACGCTGTAATACCTTTATTACTGTAAAGACATATTGAGAATACGCAATAAGAAATGAAGTGGCCGACGGATTTGTCTCTCGTACAAAAGCGCGGGAGGATTATAATTTGTGGTTAAATCAGAAGGAACGACTGGAAGAAGAAGTGCTTCAGCGCAGCATAATCCGAGACATTAATTAACTGTGTAGTCATAATACTGTCCGTTGGTAGAATCGGGCCTCCGAGAGACGCTCCTCGTTCATTGTGCGAAGCCATCGTCGAATTAACAAATGGAGCAAGAGAAGACGAAATTGCCCAAGAGCGCCTTAGTCTTCTCTTTCAGAGAAGAATATCAAACGAGAGGGGATTCGAGGATGCAAAAGAAAAACGAAGGAAAGACAGTGAAATGCGCAGTAGTCATCGAGGAAGGACAATCTGGAGACAAAACAATTGCGCGATTTCGCGCCAGCGCTTTCGTTTCGAAACGCAATGTCACATCGCAAAATGAGTAAGCTAAAAGCCAAGTATTTCGCTTAATGTCGTATGACATGCTGGATCGTGCTGACAAAAGAATACTTATCGTTTGCTTTCAACGGCAAGATAATAAATCTCGCGGCACGAGCTTTCGTAACGTATTTTATGACGACCAGTTCTTTCGGGAAAAAATGCAATGCATGACGATTGAAATGAATATTTATTACGTAAATATCCTTCGCTCATTAACGATCATTTACAAGAGGAAAAGTTAAAAAAGTAACTGTAATAATAAAACTACAATCGTTCAAATATATGCAGATATATTTGCATTTTACGTCTTGCCAAAGTAGATCTACGCGAGAATACTTGAGAAATTTGTATTGGTGTTCTTTAATTTTTCTGCACCTGCGTCGATCAATTTATGAAGAGATTGATGATCGCATTAACAACAGTCTCGTTCTCAATCGAACATTATTTCATTTGCACGACAAGATTTCAGTTATAGAATTAGTAGAGAACAGAAGTCGTACACACGCCTCCGTGCGAATCGCGTTTGCCGATCTTCCATCCACTCGGGATAATTGCGTCGAAAACAAGGTGATTAACTGACTAGGGTGACTACGTAGGTCGGCGATCTATTTCGATCTAGGTATCATCTTCCCATGCAAAAGTGTTCCAATGTCCAAACTGTATTGTCTTTTCTATTTTGTTGAGCTGTACACGAGGATTACAAATCTGCATTCTTCTTTCCTATTTTAATTTATCCGCGAGAAGATAAATATACAATAAAATATATATGATCGCCATTTCAAAATTAACTAATAATTATTAATAATCTTGAATGCCATCTTATCACTGATATTTATGAAAAATATTAATATATATAATTTTTATATTATAATTTAATTAAAATATTCCTCTAAAATACGAAATACATTTTACTTGACTCATACTATCACTATTTTATGTTATTTATTATGTGTTAATATCTCAAGTTTTCGACAATTATCATTATTTTTCTTAATCTTACAGCATTGTTGCCAGAATGCCCAGCATCAAGTAATCTTGTAACACACATCAGTTGTAAATGGAGGGTGGAAAAGAAGAGGGAATTCTTACAATGCGCGTCGACTTGTCACAAAAGGAGGACACATCGAGCTTTCGCGCGGTTGGTAAGTACGTTACCGCCTTCTGATCTCTTTTATCTCTTCCACCTCTTTCTTCTCTCGTCGCGCCTCATCCTTTTTCCTTCCCCATCGGCGGCGCTTCGCTCCCTTCATTTACCGCAAGCACGCAAACCCGCGAGCAGATCTGACCCTCTCTTCTTGTAAGAACAAAAGCCGACCGGCTGGCTGGATGGCTGGCCTTCTTTTCGGATGCGACCGCGCGGCGAAGTCTTTAACTTCCTTCCTTTTTCATTCCCAACGGGAGATTCCATCTCTGTAGCACTTGCATTGTTTTATGTGGCGAGCGTTTAATTAGAGCATCGCGTCGTAAATACACAGAGCGTTTCGTGCGCCACCAAAGCAAATAAGATTTATGTATGATAAATTTGGTTGTTAATATATTTTTTCCCCTCTATTTTGCTTCTTAACGATTCAAGCTTTTACAATGTTTTTTTTTTCTTTTCACATTTTTGTTCCGTTTTATAAATATGCATTCCTGGACTACATTTTTACCTTTGTATGAACGGTGACGCGGCATCGCATTTTAGGATTCAGGTTCAATTAGTTCGATGACTGTGCGCGCGAGCGGAAAGAGTCGAGTGCTCCCTCGCAACGACGAGTCTCGCGACTTCTCTTTTCATTTCAATAGGATATGTGGCAGCGCGACTGCCCTGGACTTCTCCACTCAATAGCAGTCGTTCGTTGCCTTCGTGATGCACGGCGTACATACGTACATAGTGAAGGAAGGGAGTTAGCGCGCGGTCGACGACGTTCGCGGTTGCTCTCTCTACGCCGCCAACTCGAATAATTCACATTGTCCGTCGGGAATGGTAGGCAGTCCAGGGTTTTCTTTTGCCAATTATTTCGGGACACGCTGGTGTGAGGAAAGAAAGCCCCGCGGGGCAGAATAGATCGCGCGATTTTCTCCGGACTAATTTAGCCGCGCTCTTGTTCAACGTATCCATTCTCTCTCTTGCACTTTATCCGCTTCTCTCTCCCGCGTCCTCTTCCTCTTCGTCTATGCCTCACTGTGTCCACCGGCGTGTGCTTTCCCGCTTGGAACGCAACTTGATTATTCCCTTCATTAACACCGTCCGCATAGCAGAACGATATTTTACAGCGATCGACGTCGATCGGCCGACCGGCCGGCATCTCGCCCGTTCGCGGAACACGCGAGAAAGATCTGGGGTCGCCGACCACTCCCGTTGATAAAGACAATCGATAATCCGTTAGCGAAACGCTGATAAGTACGATCCTTGCCGCCAATTTACATTTCCGAACTATTAACCCCGGCGCAGTTACGTTAATACACGCATCCGCGTCTAATTTTAACGGATCGACGGGCTCGGCCCGCCGCCACGCTGTTCCAAAGACGGCGCGTTCGCTCGCGGAAATTTCTATCGACGCCGATCTATCTGCTGGATAACGGCAGATTAATGAGGAGAGAATTAGTGGCTATTCGCGAACGATCCGGTGAAATCTCGAGATTGTGCTTTTTGAGTTTCCGCGGTTCCCAATTCATTGCTCACTAGTTTTTAAGTGGATACTTAAAAATTTCCTCTCAACTTGACATGTATTATCTTTTTATAATTTCAAACTTGTATTTAGTTCTAAAAAATTAATTTAACATACACGCACAGTTTTATCGAGATTAGGAGACGAGAAGTTTCTATATTAGTATTTTATACATTATTCATCGTTAGATTAATAATGTTAGATTAATTTTTAACCACATTTAAAGTTTTATACCATCTTTTATTAATTTATTTTTCATCACGCTGATGAAAAATCCATTGGATTATCATTCGCTCGCGTTGCTTTAGAATCGAAAAGCGAATTTGCGCGAATTCCAATCAAAGTTCCTCGCGGTTGTGCCCGTCGGGAGTTACTCTTCTCCCTGCTGAGCGTCTCCGCCCTCATCGTCGCCGCTTGCAATTTTCGACGCGCCTTCCTTCGCCCAGCGAATTAATGCTCGCGGTGTTTCAGGGATCGCGCGCGCCATTCATAACGCGAATGTTATTAGTGCAGATCGCAGTCAGATATACCGCCCGGCCCGCGTCGTGTGGTTAAAATAAAGATGATGAATGCCCGGCCGTCCCTCGCCGCGGTGCTGGATGTAGATTAATATCGGCCCTCGCTCGCTTACTACTCTGCGCGCGCCTCCTACTAATATCTGCCGTCCGTAGTAGGTAGTAGGTACATGGAGATCTTACATCGCTCTCCGCCTCATGCCCGATTGCTGGCTCTAGTAGCACTTTCTTGCCGAAAAGTCCTTGAAAAACGTGCGTCGCATTTTCAACATATCTTTTAGAAGACACTAACTAACGCCAAGAAACGCAAATTATTGCCACTTCTTTCATTCATCAATTTTTGAATTCTTTTAGAAATCATTTTTTATTAACAAAATATTGGAACATGAACTGTTCGTAATAATTATTATAGAAATTTAGATGTTTATAATTGAAATTTATATTCGCGAATATTACAATTGATTTGTGAGAATTATTTAAGAATCAGTATTTTATTAGCTATTTTTATTTTCTTTACATGTTAGATAAATGATTACATTTAATCTTAGAATTTATTTGAAAGCATGACAAAATTTATTTCTTCGCAAGTCCTCGTACAGTCACAAAGATAATTCTATTAAGTATCTAAATAACATGTTAAATGAATGGTAACGATACGCTATCTCGTAATTTAGCTCTCGTTATTGCATACTTGATACATGATGATCTCATACGGTTCCGTGCGACTAACTTCTTCGATCCTCTCCCGATATCCGAGAATCGTTCAGGAAGAGCGTGGCGTTACTCTTGCGATAACATACCTTACGTTATTACGAAACAGCTACCTGGCTATAATTTTTACGAAACCCCTTCTGTAACCGGGCAGCTGCTCCTGCATTACACCAGCTCGAATTTCGAATTTGAATTATTATAACAACAGCTTTCAACGGGTCAGTCTACGCGCTCGAGTTAAAGTCTGTATAAATATTCAGACGCTCTCGCGTCGCGCGTACAATTTACCGGCGCGGGGACGTTAATGAAACCGCACACGCTACGCATACCTCGATAAATTTGCATAGTAGTGGCGCGCATATTTAGTCGTCCGCCGGTTTTAGTTTAAGCCGGGGATCAGGGAGTTCGATCAACGATGCTGCAAACGAGCCTGCATCTTGGGCTCGTCTTCTTCACGGTCTGAAAAACGGTCCAATGTATTCGCTGGTCGTTTGCGTGCTTGCAGGTTTTATGTATACCTTTGCATGTTGTTTAACGACGGAAACAATATGAATGATGGAATAATATTACGTTAATATTATGGAATTTTAAATACATATTACATGTTAGATATGAACAAAATATTTAAAACATGCACGCTACAATTTTTTTATGTGTCGCAGTTATCTATATTTGATAAAAATTCATTTTTCCGTCCTTTTTTTATCGTGTGAAATGCATTATACTTTTTAGAAGACATGCAACAGAATAATTTTAATTATAGGAGAAAAATAATAATACAAAGCAGTCAAATTTGTGTGAATTTTTATTATTCTGTGTTTATATAAGCACTTGTTATATAAATAAGTTTCATTCTCGCAATGCTAATTTTATCAAAGAGCATGTACGAGTTTATTCTATGCTCATGCTATAAATGTATTTTCTTCCAACATATCGCTATGTCTAATTAGAAAAAAAAAACTAAATAACGTTTATATAAATGGCAGAGCTTATGTTAGAATGAGTTTAATTAGATTACACAATTGCTAAGCGGAAGCGATCGTGCAAACTGGTGGCATTACGATTCGAGCTAATCTGCGTTAGTCGATCTCGACGAAACTCATCGAAGTCTCGTCGAAAGATGTCCTAAACCACCATCGACACTAACGATTGCGTGAACATCCGCAACACCGACGCACGTCTATATAATCATTACACGCCGCGATCGGGTTTTCCT